GGACGGACGGGCTGTCGGACAGACGGACGGACAGACAGACAGGACAGAAAGAAAGAACATGGTTATTATGCTTATTTATATAGAATATCCCAAGGAATATACACACTTACAAATACACATACATACATACACACACATACATACACACACGCACGAACTGAATTCAGAAAAAAAGGTAAAATATAAGATCGACACACCAAAAAAATGCTTCTATATATATTAACAATGAACATGTAGAAACTCAAACTAAAAGCACAATACACTTACAAAACATAAAATCCCTAGTACTAAATGCTAATTAAAGAAATCAAAGACCTAAGAAGTGCAGAGAGACGTGTGTTTATGCATTGAAGACTAAACATAATATAGATGTCAATTATGCCCAATGATCTACTGGTTTAATGCAGTTCCAGTCAGAATCCCAGAAAAGCTTTTTGTAGGAATAGACAAATTTATTATAAGCTGTACACAGACAGGCAAGCAAAATAGAATCAATAACTAACAATCTTGATACACAAAAATAAAGTGGGATAAATTATTCTAATATTAAGGCTTAATAATCAAGACAGTGTGGTTCTTTTAAACACAGATCAATGAAATGAATACAAAGCTCAGAAGAGGGTGACACAGATATGCCCAACTGATTTCTGAGAAAAATATAAAACCAACTTAATGAAGGATTGCCTTTTCAAAACATAATGCTCACATAACTGAATGTTAGATATAAAAAAATTAAATCCAACCTAAGCTTCATAAATTATACAAATATTAATTCAAAAGAAATCAGACAAAAAAATAAAAAGAAATCAGACAAATACAAAATGTAAAAAATGTAGTACATTTAGGAAAAAAGATGAGACTAAATCTTCAAGAGCCAGAGCCAAGAAGAGCTCTTCAAATTAATATCAAAACATAATCCATAAAAGGGAACACTGATCAAATGGACTCAATCAAAACTTCAAACTATTTTTGTTCTCAAAACATATTGTTAAGAGCTTAAAAAGGCAAAGACTAGAAGAAAATATGTCAAAATTGCATACTTGAATGGGCACTATTCTCTTGAATATATAAAGAATTCTCCCAACTGTTTTTGTTTTGTTTTGTTTAAATATCTAAGCTTAGAAAATGGATAAATGACATGAGCTGGAAGTTCACTTCATGTAAGAGGACATACGAATGATATAAGTCTATGAAAAAATGTTCAACATTACAAGCAATTAGGTAAATGGTAACTAAAGCAAAATGATATATAACATAACCATTACAATGGCTAAAATAAAAGTCACACTACAAATAGTTGGCAATGATGCTGAAAAACTGGAATCCTCATGTATTACTGGTGGAAATGTATTATGTAATGGCACAACCACTCTAGGAAAAAAGCAAGCATATTTTAAAACTAAACATGAACTATATATCCTACAACCCATCAATTGCATTCTTAAACATTTATCCCTAGGAAATGTAAACTTACATTAAAACAAAAACTTGCACATGAATGTTGATGTTTACAGCAGCTTTACTCCTAATAAACAACCCATAACCTGACTCAGACTTTCTTCAGTAGTTAACAGTTAAAAGAAACAACAGTAAATCCACTCCACATAATACTACTCAGTACTATAAAGGAACAAACCTGATAAGCAACAACATAGGTAAATCTCCAAGGAATATGATCAGCAAAGTAAGACAACAGCAAAAGATTCCACAGAGGATAATTCCATTTATACAACAGTATTGAATAACAGAATTTTAAAAATAGAAATCAGATTCAGCAATTATCAGGTGTTAGGCATGGAGCATGAAAAAGACATGATAATAAAGTGACAATACAAGAGATCTTTGTTGCACTGGAAAGTTTAGAACATTGCAGTTGCAAATATATGAACATACACAGTGAATGAAACTATAGAAATTGATGTACATACACATATACACATATAACAACACTGTGAAAATTTCAACAAGATGAACTGCATCAATATCCTGGCTGTGACATTAACTAGTAACTAGTTTTGCAAATATTATCAATAATGGAAACTAGACAAAAGGTGTATAGGATTTCTGGGTACCATTTCTTAAGACTATACTGAGGCAATTTTTTCAATTTTTTCTTCAAAGAAGACAATTATTTACCAGATAAAATAGAAGGCTCCCAAAAAAGAAAAACAACTACAGAAGATTACTTAGCATAACTAGGAAAAGTTTTTCTTTAGTTAAAAAAATAAGAACAATGAAAACTGGCCTAAAATTATAATGACTATAATGAAAGGGCATGAGGCACATATGTTTGCTTATACGTGATAGAGAAAGAGGCTGAAAAACAGAACAGTAACTTTGCCTTCCAAAGGTTAACAAGTGATGCCTAAAATCAAAAGTTAGCCTTTGCATATTTAGATTTAAAATATAGAATTTTTAAAATCTATTAAAATAGCTGACAGGAATTATCTAGAGACAAGTATACATGGGACAGGTACACTTGGAGTGGAAAGTTTGCGGAGAAAGGCTAAGACTACTTTCTATAGCAAATCTCGTAGAACAATATGACTCTTTAAGTGTATACATAAATTATTTTATTAAATAAAATGCTATTTTAAAAGATTGGCATCTTTCTTAACATAGGGATTCATGAAGAAGGAAATAATGGCAGACAAAAACTGCAACTGAACAGATTAACAGTGACAATATTATCTTGCCTAACCTGGGTAATGTCCTAAAGAAAGATCTATGTCATTTCTAGGAGTTTATATAACCCTGTGTCTTCTACCATTCCGTAAGTATTCAGAATACAATCCTTACAGAGGAAAGATTACTATTGTATTGCTAGTAAGTAAAAAGTATTAATTTTCTTGTAGATTTCATCTAATAATCATGATGGAACTTATTCTATAATAAGCCACTCGGAAAAATTCAAATCTTAACCTTTTTCTTATGTCCTCCCCCTAACAAGGCCTTGAGGGGCTTGGGATGTAGCTCGATGGAAGAATGTTTGCTGAGCATGCACAAGGACCTGAATTCAATCCCTAGTACAACTAAAACAAGAGGTGGGGGGCCTTAAGACTGAGCTTGGCAAGTAAATATTCAATGTTCTTTACTCACAAATGAAGATACAATATCTGTGAGTACTAAGAAAGTTAAATTTTACAACAACCACAAAAAGTTAACATCTACTGCACCCTTTAAATAACTGCTCCAGGCAAACATGGAGGCATATGCCTGTAATTTAATTCCAGGTACTCAGGAAGATTGAGAGTCTGAGCTGAGGCACTTGCCCACCATGCATGAGGCCTGGATTCAATCCCCAGCACTACAAAAAAAAAAAAAAAAAAAAAAAAAAAAAAAAAACCATGATGATGATAACTGCTCAATAATCACATAACTGTATTTTATGTCAATTTCTAGTAAATAATGTTCAATTAAATAATGATTTAGTGTTGGCACATGCCTGTAATCTCAGCACTCAGGAAGCTGAGGCAGGAAAATCACTGAGCATTTGAGACCAGCCTGGGCTACAAAGTGAGCTCAAGATCAGCCTGAACTGTATAGCAAGACCCTGTCTCCAAAAGACAAAAAATAATGATGATTTAATAAAAATTTTGAGATTTCAACAATCCCCTCAGTAAAATTCCATACTACATCCCCACAATATATATGTTGATCAGAAATACATTAACTTAGTTTTGCAAAAACTGACCAAAAAAAATGGATAAAATTACTAGTTTAATACATAACAAGCCTGAAAGAACATAGGCCAAAATGTTAACAATGATTATCTCTGAATTTGGCAATATAAGGAATGTTCAGTTCTTGTGTTGTTTTTTCCTTTCTGCCTAGCTGTATAAACATACCAAACATATTTACAGGCCACAATCCAACATAACTCCTATAATGCACTGATACATACTTTGGCAGAGATGTTCCTAAGAGGCCCATTTAAAGTGACAGAGACAGGGGAACAAAACTTCAAAGTAAATGAAAACAAAGGAATACAATATACTACAACTTTTCTTATAAATGTAACTGAAAACTATACCTCAACTCACTCTACTTCTTAATTATAAAGCATTAAGTTGCAAAAACTTAACACTATACTTTGCATTATCATCACATTTAAGATTATTTTCTAAAAAAAAAATTAAGTCTCATAAAATCAATAGCACTTACTGCTGTAAGGCCTTCATTATTACAAATGTTGACATCAGCACCGTATTCTAATAATTTACTCATGCATTTCTTCTGTCTGAAATGAAAAAGAGAACTAGTACTGAAGAACATAAAAATAACAATCATTTTACTGTGATATTAACTACAATAACATTAGCTGATGATGTAGTATCTTCACCTGTGGGCCGGGCATGGTGGTGCACACCTGTAAACAAGCACCCAGGAGACAGGGCAGAAGGTTCACTGGAGTTGGAGGCCAGCCTAGTTCATATAGTTAACTCAAGGACAGACTGGACTACTCAGTGAGACCCTGTCTCAAAAACATCCTTATCTACAATTTCAAACTGTATCTGTAAAATTGAATTGTACACTATTAAAATACAAAGTTATTTCTACTGACACAAAGGTAACAGAGTAAAGAAATGGCACCATCTGGATATCATGTCATCAAAACAAATGTATCAAAATGCAGAAAAACTTTTAGCGTTGACAAAGTAATAGGAAAAATAATCATAAATATAAGAAAATACATATGTAATGGATGGGAAATCCATACAACAAAATGCCTCAATGTATCCTACTCCCTTGAATGTAAAATTTATGATACTAAGATGAGCTATAAAAATAATCACATAATCAGTAAAATGTGTATCTATGAAACCTTCTAGGTCACTTCATTTTTTGCAATTATTTTTATTGTGGTATAAGACACATAAAACTTTCCACCTTAGCAATTTTTAAGATTAAAGTTCTCTTTTTCTTAATATAAAGTCCTCAAGGTTCATTCATGCTATAGCATATGTCAAAATTTCCTTTCTTTTTAAGGTTAAAGGGCTAGCAAGATAGCTCAGTGGACTAAATGCCTGCTTAGGCAAGCACAGGGTCTGGGGTTCAATCCCCGGTACCACATGCCATGCCAACCCTGACCCTGAGCTGCACAGTGAGACCCTGTACCAAATATATAAATAAAAATAAATATATAAAATAAAGCAGAATATTAATCTATTATATGCATACACAATATTTTCCTTACCTATTCATCAGTTCATGAACACCTAGATTGTTTTTGCATTTTAGCTCCTGCAAATAAACTGTACATCATATTTATAGAGGTTCAATGTTTTTTTTTGTACAATACAACTTGTTTACAAAGCACTGTAATTTCTGCTGATGGTATGCTTCAGTACAGTACTGTAGTTTCATGTTCTGCTACACATTACAGTACTACATGTAAAAGTTACAGAAATAAAAGCAAAGTCATTATGTTGGATTTTCCTCAACCATTTCTTTGGTCTTAATATCACAATGTACACACTATGTACAATCCCTCATTTAGTGACCAATTCATTTAACAATCCAGTCATAGGACAAGGACTCAGTCATTAAAGAAAAAAAAGTCTATATTCAATATATAAATAGCTGAAATTCTTTCTAAAAGAAAAAAATAACGTCTGGCTTTGATTTTTTTTTTTTTTAAATTTCTGTCTGGCTTTGATTTTTGTATCTGAAATGAAATAAGATGTCAATTAAAATTTGCATAATAATTTTAAAATGTAAGAAAAACCTCTGACTAAACTGTGTAGTTCAAACATTTACAAAGTTGCTTAGTCTAAAACACTATTAAAACTTCACAAGACAAATTCTCACTAATCATGAAAAAGCCCAAATCCTATTAAAACGGAACATTCTTTAAAATACGAGTTTGTGCTTATACACAAACAAGCCTGTGGCTCTACCTATTCTAAAGCTGGATTGGCCTATTTCCAAAGTAAAGAGTTGGGTAATGACCAGCAAAACAGACCCAAGAAAGTGTTTTTTAGAGTATGGGTTGTTAAAGAAAAGCAGCAATCAAGAATGCTCCCCGTTCCATAAATGAACTACAAAAGGTACAAACAATATAGGAGAGAAACAAACATATTTATCCAACAATTTTTGTTGCTTTTTGTCCACATTTAGAAAGGAGGGCAAACCAATACAAATAGCATTACTGGTGAGAGGAGAAACCCTAAAGCAGGCCAACAGAAATATATTACCCATCTAGGGCCGGGGAGATAGCTCAGCAGCATAAGTGGCCTGCCTGGAAAACTCAAGGTCCTGAGTTCAATCCTCAGTACACACACTCAAATAAAAAGAATTGAACTGAGAATGTACTATCCACCTAACAATGATACCTGAAGGAATTAAAAAAAAAAAAAGGAGGACTACAAAAAGGCGTAATTCTACTATGAATTCTACTTTAAGAAGGACAAATCTGAATCCATAATGAAATCAATAGTACAAAAGCTACTTCTGAAACATCAGTAGCTATACAAAGAAAGAAGCATTTGAGTGACTTAGCAAACATTTACTAAGTTCCTCCACATACAAGGCAGTCAATATATAATATAAACCAAAATATTCACATATTGAATATTGAAAGTAATCTATTTGAAAGTAAAAGCGTATCCAAATTAAAGAATGGCTCATAAACTCGTGCCTTTTGTTCTGCTTATATGCTAAAAATCATACTGTCTTATTTCTTCACTCAGAAATGCAATGGTCTTTTCAGTTGCTGTTAATAAAAATAGCAATCAAAATTATTTCCTAGTGAAGTACTTCACCACTAAGCTACATACCAGCCAGCCCCTGCACTACTTTATATACACTTTCAAGCCTTTATTTCAGAAAAATAATACAAGTCTTTAGCAAACCAAAAATATTTCACCTTTCAAGTTTAAGTCCCATGTCTTGGTCCCTGCAACAGTCTTATAACTAAGTCTTCTATTACAATTACAATACATGTTTTTAATCCTTTACACCAACGTGTCCTTTCATTTACAGTTGCTGACAAAGTACTGAACATTTTACTACATGAAATCTTTTCAGCTCTTTGTCCTATCCTATTAACATCTGGCATAAGGAATCTGGACCTGAGATTGATTCTGCAAGGGAATGCATATTTTATTCTACAACCTAGCACACAACATATAACAATATATCTGATGTACTATTATATAAACAACTGTTCAATCAACACCTTGCTACCTACTAAAACAGTGGACAATTAAACTGGCTTACATGTTAATTGGTTTGATTTTTTTTATCCTTGTTGTCTGTGTAAAAGTTTTGGTCTCAGATTGTTGCAATCAATTTAGCTCCACATCCATCTCACAAAGACAGTTACAACTATCTAAGATCCTAGAACAGAAAACAAGTATCTTCAAGATTAATCAAATAAGCCAGGTGTGGTGGCATATGCCTATAATTCCAGAACTCTAGAGGCTGAGGGAGGAGGATTACTGTGAGTTCAAGACTGGCCTGGGGGCTACAGAGTGAGTTCAAGGCCAGCTTAAACTGCATAGTGAAACCCTGTCTCAAAAAAAAAAGAAGGCCGGGGAGATGGCTCAGTGGAATAAGCGCTTCTCTGGCAAGTGCAAGGGCCTAAGTTCAATCCCCGGTTCCTCAAAAGAAAAAAAAAAAAAAGAAAAAGAAAACAAGAGACACAATAAAAATGTACTTTAGTAGAGAAGTTTCATAGTGTTCAAAAAAAGATTTATAAATCTAAATTCTTCAAGGTCTGAATTAAAAGCCACTTATTTTTATTTTAAATTTAACTCCCATTATCTTAGATTTATTTCTCAGTCAAAGGGAACTTTAAGAAAAAAAAAAATACCCATGGAGGCCAACACAAGAGACAGGACATCTGAACTGCTTCACAGAAAAAAGACTGAATAACCACAAAAAATTACAGGAGATCATAAAATAATGTTGTCCATGGTAATAACCAGTATTCTCTGTAATAAGGCAAAAGTATACCCAATATGCCACATTTCTAAGTTTTCATTTTTTGGAATGTTGCATTATTAAATAATTTTTAAACACATTATTTAGTTAGAAAACTTTTTTCACAAATAGTTTTAACACTGAAAGCTAACTAGAAATCCTACTCTGGGACAATTCATTCTCAAACAACTGCAATAAAATCCAAGAAACAACAGGGAGGTGGACCTTATGGGGATAGGGAGAGATGGAAGGGCAGGGAGGGGAAGTAAAAATTATTAGATGCAATATCTATAATTACAAACTCCCCAAAATGAATGTAATTATTATATCACAGAGATATACTAAAAAAAAAATCTACAAGTGGATACATACTATTGTGCTAAGCAACTTGGAAAATAAGCCATGAAATTAGGAATGGCAAAAAGCAGGAAAAGACACCAAAAATTAGATAAAAATAACACTCTTCAGAAAATAAAAGCTATAAATTTTCAACAAGAAAAATACCAGTGACCAATACAATAAATTATTAAATAACAGTGAAAAAATATGTCAATTAGGAAGCAGTGACCAGCCCGTGCCCATAGGAAACCTCAGCAGCAGAGCCAGCAGCCAGAACACTAGATTCTGACTCTCACCAGAGCTGCATTCACAGAGAGCCAACTGTTTTCTGCACTTCATTTGCAAAGTCGCTCAACCGACCTACTAACTAAGTCATGGACAAGGATAGGGCCTACAGGAAATAGGTAAGTTCAGAGGGTCAGCAGCTCCAAGGACAAACAACAGACCAGGTCAGCAGTGCTCCCCGCAAGAAAACCCCACAACTATAGTAAACTGCAAAAAACAGTATGGTGTTTTACTCCCAAAGTGACTTCTTCCACAGGGCATGCTACAGCTGGAGAAGAAACCCACCATATTTGAGAGTGTTACATCAGAAGCCATTTTTGGAACAGGTTAATTGTTTTAACACTGAGTCACAGAACAGTTTCACTTCAGGGCTTCCAGTGTTACCCTACACACAGTGCCTGGGTGAGACACCTACAAGAGGTTATTTTATAATTTCAATATAATGTTACAAGATTCTCTTTAAAGAGGGGAAAAAAACAAGCCTTACAAGAAAAAAATTGTAAGAAATAAAATACATCATATGATTTTCTCAGGCAAATATTCGAGGAAAAAATGATCAAATCAAGGTAGAGTACTTTGAATACCGTTTATTATAACTGATACTATAACTTCAATTATCTAAGGAAACTAAATATTTACCCATTTCTAGCAGCCAAATGAAGGGGTGTACAGCCTGAAATATCTTGATAATTAGGATTTGCTCCTTTCTTTAACAGCAGGACCAAGCATTCCACCGATCCACAACTAAAACAACATTAAAGACAGGTCAGATACACTGAAGAGCCATAGTTGAGATAACTTAATTAAAGAACAACACATTCTATTAAGCTTGTTATTTTTTTTGCCATAATTTTATTGATAAACAAATAGCAATGAGACAGTTTCAAATCAAATTGGTAGGACAGTTTCAATAATTAACACACTGCATATATTCTTCTTAGTGAAGCTTGTTATTTTTAACATGCTGATTTGTTTGCAATTTTACCTCTGTCATAAAGACTAAATATCCTTTATTCTCAAGACACACAGTCTGTTGAAAGCAGTAAAATTTTGAGAATTTCAAATAAAGCAAAAAGGGGACTGATTTATGAAAATATATATATATACTCTAAACATTTTGGCTTTCCAAAGCATTAATTATAAACAATTAATTTCAACACACCTACCCAAATCCACAAAAAAATAGATACATCACTTAGTTAACTGACCAAAACTACAGTAGAAAACTGGATAAAAATTACACTCGCATCTAAGTAAAGAATATAAAGCCAAGGACATTACATACAGTTAACGTATCTTTTATCCCTTATAAAATTGGTTGGGTAAAAGTAAGATTTGGTGTGTGCACTCTAGGAAAAACAATCCCCAAGCCTAACACAGAATAAGATAGGATATCAAGAACATGGGGAGGGCTCACGAGAGAGCTCAGCACTCCAAAACACCTGCTTAGGCAAGCTTAGGCAAGTACACAGGGACTGCAGTTCGATTTCCAGCACCACATGCTGGGCTAGCCACAAAACAAGAATATGGGGAATGAGTTCAGCCTCAAAGTTAACAATTTATCTAGTCAGAAATTATTTAACACATTATACCCTAAACAGGATAAAGAAATAATTGGCTAGGCCAGGCGTGGTGACACATGCCTGTAAGTGCAGCATTTTGAGAGGCTGAGGGATAGAGAGTGCAAGACGGAGCCTAGCCTAGGCAAACTAACAAGACCCTGTCTCAAAATAAAAATTTTAAAGGGCCAGGGATGTAGCTGAGCACAAAAGTCCTGGATTCAATATCCACTACCTCACAAAAGGGAAGAAACAAAAGAAATACTTCGCTGCTTGTTACCTCTCCATAACTACTGCAAGATAATGCTCTTTCAGAGCTTGTAACGCTTACTCTAGATACCAAAATCTCTTTAATCTTACTTTGCTGCAATATGAAGCAAGCTTCTTTTCACACGTCCAAATGCATAATTGACATCAAATTTTGAATTTGATAGTAATTCAGAAACAGACCTGTGCCCCAAAAAAGATGAAAGAATCAATATGTAAAAAATTTAAAACATAATAAATCAAGTTAACAGCTTTTCTTGTTAATTATTCAAAAATCATCTCTCATTATCAATTACAAGGCAAGCCACTATTCTCTAAGTGCAACACAGTAGCAAAGTAATATCTAAAAACCAGTGGCCTGGACCAAGAAACCGGTGATAAAGATTTAACTCCCACAGAGACAATGCTAATTAGCTGCTCTGAGGACACCAAACAGAATAAGTTGGCTTCAGTTCCCACTAGATTCTTAAGAAAAGGAAATAGTTCTAGCTGTTTCTGTTGCCGAAATTTTGAGCCTAGCTGTATTAATTTTAGTCAAATAAAAAGTTAGACATTTTAAAGGAAAGTCAAAGCAAAAACAGTTCTATTTTAACTTGTTTCAAAATATTTTCTCTCCACATTCTCATTATACTAAACTACCCAGTGATGACTGTTACAAGTGTAAAACCCCTTAACAAAAAGTTAACTTTTTAACCGTTTTTTTTTTAAAAAAAAAAAAAAATCCACATTGCTCTACATGGTGGCACATGCCTATAATCCTAGCATGCTGAGAGGCTGAGGCCAGAGGATTGGGAGGATTCAAGCCCAACCTGGGCAACTTAACAACTATATAAGACCTTGACACTGGGGATATAGCTCAGTGGCATAAGCGCCTGCCTAGTAAGTGCAAGGTCCCAAGTTCAATCCCTGTTACTGGGGAAAAAAAAAAATCAAGACCTTGTCTCAAGATAAAAAATAAAAAGGGCTAGGATATAGCTCAATGTGAAGGCCCTGGATTCAAATCCTTGTACAGAAAAAAAAAAAAAAAAAGGTCAGCTCTGTATTAACTTAAAAAACAACAAAGAAAAAGCACATGGAAATAAATTGACCTTCAACTCTAACCTTCTGCACCAGTGTTTTATCTATGTTAGTAAACAACCAGACACTTGATTTCAACATGATTATTCACTTAAAAATGTCTTACAATAAAAATTTTACACCTTCATTATGGATCTTGGAAAATCTTGTCCTTTATTTCACAACCAAAAAAAAAATCTAAGAGGAAAAATTAAATAACTTGCCTCAGAACACCTAGGCCCAAACCACTATGGGGCCGTGTGTGTGTATGTGTATATGTGCGTGTAACATTTATAAAATGTCCTACTTTTCAAAAAGCATAAATGTATTAAAAAGGCACTCACCTGTGTTGATCAGCCATAACCATTGGCATTAATGTATAAACAGCAGTTTCATTATCTGAGTTTAAAAACAACAAACAGAAAAATTAATTTATTTCTACATTTTCCAAGATGTGATACTTAAAATTAGCTTTAACTCTACATTAGAGTTAAAAGAGGAAAAGATAAGAATAATGCAGAATACCAAAGGTACTATACAACTTTTTTTTCCTTTTACTTTATCACAGAAGAGCTTACCTTCTAAACATAAGGAAAAAACTGCAGACTTAGTACCTTCTGTAGTCTTAACAACTGATATTTATTTCCAAAAAGATATTTTTAGACATGTTTTATATTTACATGCAATCTTGAAAATATATACCTGCTTCTTGCCAATAGAAGAAATTACTTTAACAGTTTTTATGAAGCATTAAGAACTAATTTTATTCAATACACTTAGAAGATATATATTCAGATTTTTTCAATGGATAAATTCACAGAAACACAAAGCAAAAGGGTCAAAGTCAATGTGATGCCATGTCATTCAGTGTCTTAAAGTTATTTTTAAATACTACTAATTGTCACTTCTCAAGTTCTTTCTGAAGTTTATTTTTTAATAAATTATTTACAAAGAGTTAACTATGACAATCCAATATAGACCTTCAAATGTTGCTAAGATTAACAGTTGAAGTCTGAGGTGAAACACGGTATTTCCTAGTATCAAAGCAGTTTCCAAAAATATTGGTATTTATAATGAAAAAAAATGTAATTACAGTAAGGAACCCAGCAGATAATGCCTTAATCAACTGATAAAGGGTAATATATTTAAAAATAATTCACAGCATGTCAGGGACATAGCTCGGTGGTCTAAGTACAAGGACCTGCATGTTATGCTGGCCCCCAGAACCCCCAGCACCCTGTGCTGGCCCCCAAAACCAGGCATGGGGCACATGTCTTTAATCCCACGCCTGGGCAGCCTGAGACAGAAGGATCACTACAAGTGTGACCTATGTAGTGAGACCCTGTACCAAATAAGATTTTAAAAATAATAATTCATAACATCATGTAGCTTCTGATCAGTGAACCACTGAAAATACATCACTCTTGTAGTGTTCTTGCCAAAAAACTCTTAACTTCAATCTAATAATGAGAAAACATCTAAAAAAAACAAAACCCACTTTAACCAAAATCTCACAAAATACACAACCAGTCCTCTTGAAAGTCTCAAGGCCACCATGGGAGCTACAATCACAGACAGTGCCAGAGGCAGCACCACCCAAATCCTTTAGAGTTCACATTTTGCCACAGATTGACAGGGATGTTAGAAATGGAACTGTAGGGATCCATTTTGCCCTGCCAGATTTTGGTCTTGCTTTGTTTCCATTTTTTTTCATCACCGTGTTTCTAATTTTTGGAATGGAAATGTCTATCTTGGAAGTGTTTAACTTTTCATTTGTATAGAGGCTTATAGCTAAGAGGAGACTTTGAACTTGGACATTTAAGTAGAGCTAAAACTGTTAGGATTTTAGCATCTCTTAAGAGATGGATTAAATGCCTTCCGCATGAGTCCTTAGGTGCCCGGGGTGAAATGGTATGGCTTGTGTCTTGATTCTCCCCCAAAGCCTCATGTGGCTATAGGTGACTGGATCTAAAGGTGTGACACTAGGACCAATTCTTGATGCAGTGCTAGGATCAAGAGCCCAGGATTAAGAGTCTGAGTGCTAACTACGCAGTGGCCTCTATAACACATAAGAGATACAAGGGATACAAAGAGCTAGGGTCATTCCTTGTTGCTTTGCTGCCTTCTGCCCACCATGAACTGTTTATAAAGCCACCCTGCCTTGAAGCCAGCCAATTATAGACTGGAACCTACACAAACTGTGAGCTAAATAAACCTTTCTCTCTTTAAATAAATTTACAAAGTCTCAAGGCCATTAGATCAAAGACCAGAGAATAATCATAGTATCATAATATCCTTGACCAGATCCTAAAATAGGAAAAGGGCATGAATGGAAAACTTCTGAAATGCTAATAAAATCTGTAGTGTGGTTAATTGTTGTAGTACATGAATATTCATTTCTTGGTTTTGATAACTATACTAAGGTACAAGATGTTCCATGGGATCTCTGTACTATTTCTATTTTTTCTAAGTTTAAAATTAATGAAAAAAATTTTGAAGGATACTAGTGCAGATTATAAGTATTAACAGATGAATCAACTAAATGTACTGTGTTGAACTCAAATATAAGTTCAAACACAACAACTTTACGGGTTACTTTTTCAGACAATTTTTTCTTTTTTTTTTTTTTTTTTTTTTCTTAGGGAAGGGTCTACAGGGTGTTCAGGGTCTCACTACTAGATTGGACTCATAGTGATTC